AATTTTCTCCAGTCACCGTAGGAGTGGTCGCCGTGGCCAGCTACGACCTCCGGGAAATACATAAGACACCCGGTGTGCAGTCTGTCGAGAGAGTCATTGAGCGCGGCCAGGAGATTACAGGTTTAGATGAACTTAGTGAGTTACTCGGCCTGCCATCCGACGTCTCCCTCAAAGTAAGTCATAGTTTGATATCATCATCATCATCATCATCATCATTATCATCAGCATTATCATCTGCATTTTCATTAGCATCATCATCAACATTATCATCAGCGTTATCATCAGCATCATCATCAACATCATTATCAGCATCAGCATCAGCTGGTCCGCTGTTCCTTTTGCTGTTGTAATTCTCTATACTGTTCTTATTCTTTTTCTTGTTCTTCTTGTACTTCTAGATCTTCTTCTTGTTAGTTGTTCTTGTCTTTTTTCTTCTTCTATTTCTGGTTCCGGTTCTGGTTCTTGTTCTTGTTCTTACTCTTGTTCTTGTTTTCGAACAGAAAGAAATGCTTTTTTAGACACCTTGTGGCCGTTTTGAACCCGTGTATATTGACCTGTGGTTTTAGTAAACAAGGAGGAAGAAAGAATTTTTAGGCGTAGACTTTCGACACAAAGAGCACGCTTTTGGCAATATGTTGGCCCCAGGATGACCCTTTCTCTGTGTCAGTCTGAAGAGAGGTGCATATATTAAATTATACTTAACTACCTTTAAATTTCTCAGAACCACAGCCGGAGGAAAAATAAATATACAAAGTAACATAGAACACAAGAATATGTTTGAATATAAAACATTGTAAAAATCTAATATCCTGAATACGAATGTCCTTCCACCCGACATACACAAACGCACACGCTCAAGCGCATACGCACGCACTTACAGTAGCACGCACGTACCCAAGCACGCAGACACGCACTCACGAGTGCATGCATTGCAAACACAGTATAGCCGCGCATACACACACACGCATACAAGCACACATAGACGCACGCACACACACACCCACCCACACACCCACACACA